TGAATAAGAATTGCTGCTTTTTGGCATTTTTTGCATATTTTGTAAATTTTTTAGTAATTTTTTTTTGGGTACAGATTTCGTTTTTTTTTTTGTTCTGTTAGTAATTTCTTGGATTTTTAATAGTTTAGTTTAACTAGAAATTTTTCCTTTCTAAAAATTACGTCCTTTTTTTTGAAAATTACAAGCATTAAATTTAATTATGTGGTACATAGTTATATACAACTTTTTAGTATATATTTTTTTCGATATTTTACAAACTTGCATTTTCCCTATTTTTATTTTTACTTTCGTTTTCGTTTTGGTTTTAGTTGCAGTTTTTTTAGATAGTAAATGTTTATTTTACCTCTCACATACATTTATAGATCTTTTTTTTTTTAATTTTAAACTAATTTTTACAAATAATGAACTTTTCAAGTGAGTGAGCATTATAGTTTGCATTTGCAGCCATTTTGAAATGGCTTAGTGCAAAATTTCTTCTGACAGTTTTTAAACAATTCACATTTTTCATTAGAGAATTTTGAAATATTTCATAAAAAATACCACAACTGGTTATTAAAATCAACAGTTAATTTTTTACTAAAGCCGCGGTGGAATTTCTTAAACACTGCGCTAATAATTCACACTCAAAAATATATGAACATACAATTAAAAAAGAATGCGCCTAAAAGTATGCAGTAACAAGCACAATATTGCTCAAATATTTGCATGCTGATAAATTTTCAGGCGCTCGCACGCAATTTATTTCCAGCGAAGAATGTGTAGCGCAGTATTTCATCAGAACTCCCACTCAGCAGCTTACTCAATGGCTCTCATTCGACGTTTCACACTCCACGCTTGAGCAGCAAGTAAAGCTAATACTGAGGCGCCTTTCCCACAAACCGTGGGCCTCGCTAAAGCCACTTTTCATCCTCTCCTTCATCTGCTCCCCCTTCCAATAATCACCTCTTCTTGCTCCACTTCCGAATTGCACATTTGCCCTTTGCGCTTCACTGAGTTCCGGCTTGACGGCAGAACTCCTCGTACATCCTTCACAGCACTGCGTGCGATGGCGAAGCGGTCACCTTTTGCAACATTTGCATCAGCTGTTCCGTTGCGGATTGTGCTTGGCCACAGCTTGCTGAGGCGGCACCAATGCCGCTACCGCTGACGCCACCACCGCCCATACCCATACCTGCTCCCAGACCGAGTCCAGTGTTGAGTGCACAAGCTACACCACCAGCTACAGCTGCAGCGCCCACTCCAACTCCGATTCCACTCAAACTTCCGTTGGCTGTATTCGAGGCTGATGGCGGCGATGCGACTGATGTGGCCGCTGATGCCGATGAGGATGATAGTGACGACGATGACGACAGTGACAAAGACATTGACGATGTTGGTGTCAAAGCTAGTTTGGACTCTGTTTGATACATATATTTTTTTTTTTTTTTGGATCGACAAGAACGAGAAGAAGAAGAAGAGCAAATTAGATTCGTTTGCACATGCTTTTCTACGGACTGCCTTGCATACTGTCATCGCTCTCCAGATAGGTCACATATGAGTCAGTGCTGTCCGGGTGATGATGTGACGTAATGCCCGAGTCCATGCTGCCTATGGGTGGTCCATTCAATTGCTGGCCGGGCGGTGGCGGATGTGGTCCATGATGTGGCGGCAGCGGTGGCATGCCATTGAGATCGTAACCATGCATCTGTGCGACAAAAAAAAAAAGGGGTTAATAAATTTTGATCACCAATTAAAAGCTTCGTAAGCAATGTGTGCTACTCACCTGATTCACCAGTTGTTGAAACGCGGGCGTATGCGTATTTATCGCACCATTGCTGTCCAAATCCGCATGCAGCGCGAAGTCGGATAAGGCTTTCCATGGCGGCTGATATGTTTGCACGTCGATGCCCTGCAGATTGAGCGGCGAATCGTGGCGTACCGGCGAGCTCGCGATCATCGGTATGCCCTGCATGGCGCCGTAACCGAGCTTTCGTCCCTCCTATAAGCGCAAAGCAAAGAGGAACTTTCATCAATTGAGCACAAAATGTTGTTCGTGCAGTTGAGATATTCAGCGAACAAAAATGTGATTTTTGCGTGATTGGGACTTACCTTCTCCTGTTGCATTTGCAGCTTCATTTGTATGGTTTTCTTCTTGTCTTTGCAGCGTTTGTTTTGAAACCAGACTCGTATGACACGTGGCGATAGACCAGTCATCTCCACCAGCTGCTCCTTCATGAGCGCATCAGGTCGCGGATTAGCGTTATAGCAGGTTCTGTGAAAATCAAAGCAAGTGTCAGCGAAATATTAATAAGCGTTCTCGCAAAAAAATTATATGCAAAAGTAAGGGAGAAGTGTTTCTCAAAGCTCTCATGACCCAGTGGCTATTCTGTCGGCAACTTGATAGGCAATTGCCATGCACATACATACATATGTATTTCTCTGAAAAATCTCATCCTATGGAATCCTGAAAAGGCCCCATATACCATCGAATAAAAATAACAATAACAAAAGTTGTTGAGGTTCGAAAATTTGAAGTCTGTGGGGTTGGTATAAGAACTGCTTCTTTATACGGTGAGCTCCGTTTTCGTTCAATATTTAATTAACTAGAAAGGAAAAATGATGAATTTCTCATAGACAAGACTTTCTAAGACTTTCGTTAGGTTAGGTTGCAGTGGCTGCCCACATTCAGATCTGATATGGATGCGTATGAATGCGCACTTAGGCTTAAAGACCGAGTTGTGACTACCTAGAATTGGGCCCAAGTTCATTGGCTGTTAAGGCGTAGAAGAACGCAGATTTTCTTCGAACTTAAAACTCAGGCATAAACACCCGACTTAGTATACCTCTGGCAATGGCAAGGAAGTATGTATTCGATGCGTTTGCGGTATTTATTGTCTCAACAACTGCGACAATAGTCATTCTTAAGCAGAGCTCAGTAAAGAACCGCATGACCACTCTCAACACTCAGCTGACTCCCTAATAAGTAAATTTAAATATTGTGTGCCTACTGGTTTTTACTTAATATATTTTAAACTTAACTTACCTTAGCGTGTGCAGTTGCTTTTCATTCAAGACCGTTCGCACCCTTGTCGGTTTACCGTCCGATGGACCCGAAGGTCTTTTTTCCCTTGTGAGCCCGATTCGCTACCAGAATCTGAAAAAGAGATTACGAATTTAGTACTGAGGAGTCATACGTACATACATACATAAATGTAATTTGAATAAAGTAGCAGGAAGGGTAAAAATGTATGCAATGCATCTTTTCAATGCGGCAAGTGAAGTTTAATGCCGAATTTCCGCTAGGCATTGAAATTACAAAAAATTGGAGGCATTTAAAAAATGCCATGTGGAAATGAATGCCCAAATTTCTGCCATTTAATGCCTAGTGGAAATCCAGCACAAGAGTATGATTTTTTATATTTTTTAATATTTTCGAATTTCGCTTTACCGCCTAACTAGTTGGTCCTCTAATTCGTTGTTAGCAACAATTTTAAGACGTTAATGTCCTACGAAATGTTAATTTCCAGCTTATCCATCAAAAGTGACAGGTCACTAACTAGTAAGCTCAAACTCAGTTTTAATACCAGTCAGTAAACTGGAATTTCCAGAATAGCAGGATGATTTCGAAATCATTTTGTAAATTTGTTGAGGTTTTGATGAATCCAAAGTGTTTAATTTTTCCCTTATAACCAAAAATTAACTGCCTCGGCTCTCACCCAAAGCACAACTCGATTCCCTATACACATCTGTACATAAATTTGTATGTAAGTATGTACTACTTGTAGAGGAAATTCTTCTGTCTCCAAAAAAAAAGAAAGAAAGAAATGAATTCGTATCTGGTGATGTTTCCTCTTGCATCTTTTTTCTGTATGCCAAACTATAATTAGTTTTCTCCGCTGCCGAATGTGTCGAAAAATTGCATGCAAAATATTTACGTTCTGGCGCATTTCGGTCAGATCAAAGCAAATGTATGCTTCATCGGACAAGTTTTCGCGATCAATTGTTGGGAATTGGTGGGATTTTTTTTGGGATGCTGGTATTTTTAAAATTAACTTTCAAGAGATGCGACAATTTTCCCCTTTTAGCTTATTAAAGAGGCATGAGAACTAGTTGTAAATGTTTTATATGTATGCATATGCATGTGTATACACTAGGGTGGTCCAAAAATGCATGTGAAAAAGAAAGGTCTGAATTTGAATGTTCTCACCCCCAAGGATTGTTGTATGACTTATAAAAATAGTTAAGATTAAAAAATTATTAAATAACCAGTTGGGTATTATTATTGAAAGTCTCCTGGAAAGAAACAAAGTTTTCCGATCAAAAATTACTGATTTTCAAGAATTCTATGCTATTTCTACGAAATATTTTTGCTTTCCCATATAAAATACATGCAAAATTTGAGCGCTTTGAACAAATCTCTAAAAATTTTTTTATTTCTATTTAAAAAATAGGGGGTATGTTTTCTTTTTTTGGTATAGAATAATCCTAGGGGGTGAGAGCATTAAAAATATGACATTATTTATTTTTTGACCACCCTAGTATACACTCATACACACAGATATACTCATACCAGCGGGGGAAAATAGGGAATGCATTACCTTTTTTTACCACGAAAAGATTAACATCTACATACATATGTACGTTTGAACGAAAAGATGCATATCAATGTAAGCGATAGGGTAATGTGTGACAAACCGTTGCAAAGACATTTTCAAGCATTATTTTCCATTCCGGGATCTGAAGAAGGACTCAGTGAAACGGTCCAGAGCGTAAAACCTGCCCTGCGATTCCTGTCTTTACAAGTTGAGGAAATGGCTAGAGCAGCTGGTAATAACAGGAGGACTGATCAGGTATACCGGGCTGTATCAAGCTCACTCTGGTCACGGCTCGATGAACGTAGAAGACAGAGTAGACTAAAGCTATAATAGCCAAAAGTTAAAAATTCTTACGGGAAAACTAAGGCCTAGAACCACGTATAATGATTTCTACAGAAGCTACGGAGATGACGAAGAGATGAACCCAGCCTAGACTTCCTATCAGGTGAAAACCCTTAAAAATTTCTAGGGGACCGCCACTTTGAAAGCTTGGTCAGCTTCGAGAGAACTCCATTAGGAGTCCCTGTAGGCTTTATAAGAAAATCAGAATTTTTTAGAGACATTTAGGTTTAAATATGGAGGAACTCTTATCAAAACTGCTCAAAGACCTAACCTAATCTACTACAATAAAATAGAATTTTTGTGTGTTATGAATTTGTATGAAATTATCTTTTTGGTTATCTATCACACCTTGACATTAGAAGAAACGGTTTTTAGGACTCGGAAAGGATCGAATTTCTCACAAAGTAAGCCTTCACACTTGGTGAGGTGGGTAATCACAAACATTTTCATTTCGTATAGGGACCGAACCGCTCTAATGTTTATACATAGGTACATGTACATATGTATGTCTATAGACATTCATATTTACATGTTCGTACGAGAATGTTTGTATCTTCAGCACAGTACGACACTCGTATGTATTACAAAACGATATCACAGCAGCAATCTCGGTATTTACGATGATTAAGGTAATCGAATGGAAGAAGTTTGCAAGTTTGGTACTCGCAAAGTGGCGAGCGTACAAATTGCTATGGCTACATATCATATCAACGTTGACACCAATTCCTGCAATATCTAATAAAGATAAGGAGTTACGAGCAACCAGATGGAGCTATAAGAGTATCCTAGAAGAGATGTGGTGGAAAGTACGTATGCATGTGAATAAATGTATATGTATGCAGCGCTGTATCTACTAATATGTATGGATAGATATGTACATATCTACATATTTAAGTATACATATCATGAACCTGTTTATCAACGTAGGATGAATGGATCAGTGTAGAATATCAGTAAGAGGATCAGTGAAAGCACGCAAGTAGATATCCAGAAGGGAGAAGGTACATGGCCGATACTTTCTTATACGAATTTTTTTAGATACATATTTACACATTATGCATACATATGTATGAGAATATTTACTACGCATTTTGTCCATCTGTTCGCACTGGGCATGGAATTTTCATATTTGCAAAAAATAACGAAAAACCAACAACATTTACTTACGACGATGGCACAAAAGCGCCGACGCCGATCCGCCAATGGAAATACAAACAAAACGCAGCGAAGCGCTCAAGCGTCTTATAGTCAGTCAGCCAGACCTTAAGGTATACATACATACATATACATACATATAGTACGAAATGAAGGGTCAAGACCATAAGCCAATATGTAGATGATGAGGCTTACTTCTTCTCGATGGCCGGCTGAGTGAGCAAGTGAATGGTTGCTTGGTTGATCGGCTAGCCAGCCAGCTGGCTGTGACGCTGAAGACGATTTTGTTAGTATTTTTTTGTTGACAACTTCTTGAGAAATGCAGACATCCACAGTGTCACCTGTACTCGCAGCGCTGTCTCTCTGTCTGATTGCCGCCCACCACCACCACCACCAACGACTACATCACTACATCGCCACGCAGACGATACACGTCTGATTGTATGATCGCGATCGTGTTCTGTGCTGTTTATCATAGCGATCACTGTTTTGATTTTCTTGTTCTTTACGCTTTTGATTTTTGTTTGATTTCCAATCGTTGGCAATTGTTTGATGAACTATCGAGATTGTTGTACCTCTTGTCATTGTGGTGTACAATGGTTGTTTGTTTATTTTTGGCGGTACTTTCATGTTAGATCGGCATTGCGAACCATGTCGCTTATGTTATGTTAGTGAAGATCGATTGACTGCGGCAAAAGATGCGACGGTCTTATATGGAATAATGATTAGTTTTGCCTTTTTTTTTTAGTTAGCCAGAAGGCTAACAAGAGTGCGCTAAGTCGCTAAGTCGTAGTATCCTAACTCTATGCCGAATCTGAATACACCGGATTTTCAAGCTGGATTGGTTAGGTGGTGGTAGTGGCGGAAGCTTAAAAGGTAAGGCGCATAAGCAGAGCTTTCGAGGGGGGGCTGATTTAAGTCGTCTCGGCGCACACCTCTCAACATTTCTTGAGAGTGGCTACTATTTGCGATTTGTTAGTTGTCATAGCCAGCTTCTAACCTCTTCAGCGAAGATCTCTGTATGTAATACGCATTTTCGTTACCAAATCAACACTTTTATTAACTTTGTTTTCAAATAACCTTGGCGTTCGCAAATTGTCAATTTTTTTCCATTCAAATAAAATCAAATCGTCATCGTTGATTTTCATCAATGGCCATATATCTGTCTGACTTTGATTTTTTTGCACGCCGCTCCCTATATGAAATGAAATGATCTGCTGCAAGATCGAAGACACGATCGTACGCGATATCTTGCTTGTTGCTACAAATTTTTACCTCGATAATTTTGTTCATTACTGCTTTTGATCAAAAAGTTACCGACTCTCTGAACTACATAGACATAGACATTTACATACATGCGATTGATTGGATAGCGGAAGAGACAATCTCGTCCGAGGGGGACCTGTACAACAAAGAGCGTCGGCAATTAGATAACAAGTTGTAATTGTGCTGTGAAACAAGTCGTAATTACGAATGTTTTCTCAATTGGCGGCAACATGCGATACAAAGAGATTGGTTAGTATAATCAAGATGTACACATGTGAAAGAAAGTTAAAGATTCTTATAGGAGTACATAATCAATGTAACAAATTACAATATTAGAAAGGTAATCGGTGACTATCTGGCCAGTAAATGGTTAAGAGGTTTGCTAAGAGGTTTGTTTAACGGCAACTATTTAAGTTCCGTCTAGTCGCAACTAAATACCAGTTTGGCAGTGAACTAAATAAAATCGAGAAACAAAGCTTGTAATGGTGGCCGCTGTGATGTAGTGGTTAGTAGTGCGCGCTACCATTCCGTTGGGCCCGGGTTCGAGCCCGGTTTCCGACAACATCAAAAAATAAAAATAAAATAAAACCAGTTTTTTCTAATAGCGGCCGCCCCTCGGCAGGCAATGGCAACCTTTCTGTGTATATCTGCCATGAAAACAATATCAAGACGCACGCCACAAATTAGAGCAGAAGCTCGGCCAGAACACGTAACACATTGTGTACAGCACCGATCTTGACGATTTCCTCAGTAGACTTAGTTTAATTATTTTGAAAGTATCTCACCAAATGATGGAGTGTTAATGTAAAACCCCACATCTGAACAATCAGTTGTATAGCAGCAATAGTGATGAACTCGCTAAACCAGACTACGGATTCATCATAAAGAGCAGCTTAGCGCAAGTTGCACTGAACTCTATTGACGCTTACTCTGTTCATTAATATTCTAAAACCTAATGTGGTTCTCTTCACTAGAAGAAGGAGAAATAATGATTTGACTTTGCCAGTGTTAAGGGGTGTCACTATAAAATTTCTCATAAGCTTAACCCCTCAATAATCAAGCTTGACTATTTGTCAAAAACTTGCGCCTAAAACTATGTCGCTAAGATTTGTCTGTATTTGCCTGAATTTGTTGTGTATTTTCAAAGCGCCTAAAATTAAAATTTTGCAGCATAGTTTTAGTCGTAGTTCTTTTAACAAATAATCAAGCTTGACAATTTGTCAAGTGCACAGAATTCGGGGGTTTGTATTTAAATCATCATTAATTCATTAACACCCCTATTCTAACAAAGTCACAAAACTCAGCGCATCACTATTGTGATTTCTATTGCGCTTCAAAGTATGCTGCTAAGACAAATATGCCGCTACGCATTTATCGGTTTGCCACCCCTAGATGTACGCCTTCACTTAGGCTTTAGAAGTTTAGGTTACTTAGAAGGTTTGATGTCGTTACACCAGACGGGGATCAATGAATTGTGCAATCGGAACCAGTTCTCGACTACTTTAGAACCTTTAAAGGTTGATCTAACTAAGAGGTTGGGCCAGGAGCATGGCTGTTCGTTGAGCAGAATAACGTCAAGCGTTTCTTTTTCCAAGGAAAGTTTTTTCAATACGCCAGATGCACTGGCGACTCTTTCCGATGTTGATGAATTTACTTTTAGCAACCAAGTCAATCTTGCTTGGACACCTGGGCACAAGGGGGTTTATGAGAACGAGTTGACTGATAAACTTGCTAGGCATGGCTAAAGATAGGACCGGAACCTTGGATTGTCTATAACATCGGTGAAATGGCGCATATCAACAAAACTGACCTGTACCCAGCATGAAAGCAGATGGTAAGACATTCCTATCTGCGGACACTCTGAGATCGTCTTCACTGATATCAACAGAATTTCTTAAAACACTAATTAAACATTTTATCTGCAGCTATTGGTCGTTCTCCAGGCTGAAGTTGTTGTATGTAAATAGTTTAAAGTTAATTTTAGTAGGTTCTGGTGTCATCTGGGCATATCTTTCAAATTGAATGAGCCTCCCACCTACTAGCCTTAGGACAGGGTAATAAATGAAGCCATGTCCACAACCAGAAGCTATAGCTTTAAGCACTGTGGCTGTGAGGGTCAGAACATGGCTAGACTTACGAAATTAATTGTTATGCACTTTTGAAAATGGTTTTGCCCCGTTTTCGTAATTACAAATGGCCGACAAACTAAACTATCTATCTCTTTTTCATCAGCTTTCCTGGATTGAAAACCTTTGCTATTTATTACAATAAATAGCCACAAAATAATTCGCATTTAGTAGGCTAGTATTACAGAAAACATTTGAAAACCAATTTTTATATTGGCAACACCGATTACGTAGGCTTTAAAGCTTAGAATCCAGCAATGAAATTCTGACAATCGCTACGCTAAATTTTCGTCGCTAAAATTCTCTAAATGAAAACTAGTGGTTCCTAAAAGTATACAACATGACGAATTAACAGGTACTATGGAAAGCAGTATGGAAAGCATTTAACTAGATGTTGCATGGCGTTAGGCGCACCTGCTGTTTTTTTGGAGATTTTTGGCGATCAAAATTAGGGATAGCGAATGTTGGAATCCGCCTGCACCTCTCAAGAAAAACCACAAGAAATATTTTTCATTATTTCTGTTGCTTGAAAAAACAATTTGCTTCTGCTATAAATTTTTCTTGGGAGCTAGAAACTGATTTAAGAAATTTTGAACTTCGTTCCCATTTCTGGAAACAGCCGTTGATTTGAGAATTCCCAACAACAGAAACATGACATTTTTGTGTTTGTAACTACAAAAGAAAAAAAAAGAAAAGGCGACCCTACTAATAGGAAGCTTCAGCTTAAGTATATTTTATATAATTAAAAAGTTTTGTAAATAGATATGCTTACGTTTATGTATTTTCACTCACCTGACATTGAACCCAACTCGCTGGAATGATTATTATTACTAAGACTTGTATTATTATTATTACTACTACTATTATTGTTGTTGCTCTCTATCGAAGATGACGTTAGACTACTTTGTGAAGATTTCTCCAGAACATCATGGTCCTCTTTACAATATAAAATGCCGCCATCTCGTAGCGCAAATTCATCACCTGAATGGAATGTAAAATAAAATGTTTATATATATGAGAGTGAAAATTAAATAAAATACAGCAACAATATGTATGTATGTATGTCATTGTAATATTCACCTGGCAGCAGTTGCTTCGCACACGCCGAACAACGAAAGCATTCAATATGAAAGATTTTCGTTTTTGCCCGCATCACAAAGTCATTTTTACTAAATGAGCTACCGCATTTATCACATTTTGTACCAAATAACCTGCAAAGAAATTTGCGATTTGAATTAAAAGAAAAATACAATTGCAATGCTAAAGTGGGTTTACTCTATGCTTTTGATGGTCACTACTGTTTAGGTACATTAGGGCGCATCACTCTCGATAAAAAAATAAAAATCGGTACTGTTTTTCCAACGGAATCATAAAATTTACTATATTTTTCGCCTACATATGTATATATATAACAAAAATAATTAAAATTTACGTGAGCTGGACTGACTTGAAAGTATTTCCTAAAATCCTTATATTCTTTTTCTGTTGATAAAGTGTTCAAACATTTTTATGCAGACCTTTTAAGCTTAAACTCTTCTATCAGCTGAGGTGATTTTTAGAAAAAAAAACTCTTAGAAACTGGTTTTATTTATAAAAATCTCGATTTTTGGAGGTCCTTTCATCTCGGAAATCTTAATATTTTTCCGAAATTTGTGTTTTGGCGGAAGTTTTTAAATAAAAGTTTTAAATTCTAGTGGAAAAAACCCGCGGCTTTTTTTGCGGAGGCAACCTAATATAAAAAATTCAATAAGCAAATTTAAATATTCATTTTATTATTTACAACAAATGCGCATAACCTTGTAATGGCGCATAATTGTTGTGGTAAACAGCGCAGGCATATTACATTGTATAGAAAACTATGTGATTTTAGTAATTATTTATGTAGACATATTTTTGTAAAAAAAGCTCTTTGTAATTTTATTAGCATTTCCTAAATGTAAATTCTATTTACTTTTCCTTGCTTATTTTAGAACTGCACACATTTTAATTGTCATGAATTTTCATAAATTCGTGAGTTTACATAAAGGGGGAAAAAAATTCAGATTAATATGGAACCAAAAAAAAACAACTTTTGTATGTGAGTGCACTTATTTTTAATTTTTATACATACATATTTTTTTTTTATTGCATAGTTATGGTAATCGTTTTTTTTTTGTTTTTTTTTTTTTCGTTGAAAAATGTGCTAATTTATCATCCGATAGCCTGGCGCGTGTTAATGAATTATTGAAATATTTATTTACAATACAATTATACCACCACCACATCGCACACGTTGCAGCAGTCAATATATGTATTCAAAAACATTTAGCACACAAATAAAATATTTTCGCTGTTTCTAAGTTTATTTTTAACTATTGAAAAGTTTTTATTCGAGTATATCGTTAAACAAATTGAGGCATTTTCCTCTAAACACCAACCAACCACCACATAAATAAATATAAATTAAAAAAAAATCGTTTTCATCTTTTGACAGCGCCGTCGTCGGTTAGTGATTAGCGGCGAGCAGTGGGAGTTGCGCATGACAGCCCCCTGGCTGTGGTTATGGTACAATAACTGATTTACGAATATTTGTATGTTTGTTTGTCTTTTATCAGCTACTGGTTGGTAAATAATCTCGAATTGTTATTTGAATGTTATTGTTGTTGTCGTTTGTGTGTGTGTGTGTATTTAACGAAGATCTGCTAAATGCCATTGAAGAGTACGAATTTGCGCTTGGAGATTTTAATTTGTACAATTCATTTGCATTTTAGCGGTATCTATGTATGTATGTATGTGCTCTCTACAACATACAAATAAATACAAAAAAAATGTGTAATTGCGAGACGTTTATTGTTTGAGGAAAAAAAGCTAAAGCACGAAATCCCTTGGGCTATGTATTTGAACGGCATAAAAAATTGTGATATTTTTTCTTATTAGAGGATCTATCTACTTATGTATTTCTAGCAGATTCAATAACTGGGAACCTCCACTGAATGTTTTGGGACCATTTAGGAAATCACTGATATCCACTTTGATGGAAGGATAGGACATTTAGTTTGTCTTAACCATAAAAATTGCATTTGGTGTGGGTTCTGTCATTTGCCTATGCTTTCTTAAAGGAAAAAAATATTTCTGGGCCATGAAAAAGCAATGGCCCCATGTGTTTTCTTAAACAATTCACTCTCTTGTCCTTTATTGTCATGGCCGTGACGTCCAACTACGGCAAGGAGCTGTCTGACTGCCAAACCTGAAGCATGTGATTTTCCACATGATTTTTAATTAGGATGATGTTATAATTTGAACATCATGCGAAAAATATAGAAAGAATTTCTTCATACGCAATGAGATTAAATGTGCAAATTATAATGTAAATATGATCTCGAATTGTTAAGTGTACAAATGGGCAATAGAATAACAATAACATTTCTATATAAAATGTGTATCTATAGGGCGAGCACTATCTTTAGACTATGGAAAACATTTGTATGTAAATATGTACATTTAGCCGCTGTAGTGCAGTACGCGCTACCACTCCGCAGGGCCTGACAACAACGCAATATTATTGAGAATCAAGTAGAATTTGGGATATTAACCAACCGTCATAATAAAGAAGGCCGATGAAAAAAAAATCTTTGAAATCTTGAAATTCCGCTTACAATATTTTCGCGGTTTTGGGCTATAGACAATTAGGATTCTATGTTTCACAGTGGTATCACAATGGACCTGCAGGTTCTAAGTGAGTAGTTTATGTTTGCAATTCTCAAAAGGCTCATTATACTGAGGGCGTAATTTGGTGGCCAACTCGTTACAGGGTAGCCAACTCATTTTAGAGAATTCACCGATTTTGCCCGAAATTTCGTAAAATTCCCTACACATAGACATCTCCTTACTTACAAAAAAAATAAAAATTATGCGTTTTGATATATTGCTGGTCTTACTGTTTATTTTATTTTTAAACGTAATTCATGTATGTATTGATAAACCAAACCAAACTTTTGTAAAGTAAGTTAACAAATAAAGAATCAAAAATATTTATGTAAGCAATATTTACATATGTACATGCAGTGGTCGCAAAAATTTTAGTCGCACCAATTATTATTGTTTTTTTTTTTATTATTGAATTTGAGCTATTTTTTTTATAAAAATATAGTTGATTCTTTAACAAAAACCGTATAAATCAAAGTTTCAAACTTTGTGCAATATTTGAAACAATATCAAAAAACTTTCGTAAAAATGTCGAGATTTTTAATTAGTTTTATAGAAAAATGTTGAGTACGCATTTTTGTAGCTCACTCAATTCTAGAATAATAAGGTGCAAATTTCGAGTGGCTTAAAATTTTCGTTTTAGAATATAAAAATCAATTAGTTTATTCGTTAAATGAAAGCAAATGCGACAAAGATTTGAAAAGTTGATATACTAGAATTGAACGAGCTGAAATTCCCCACAAAAACGGTCCATTCCCCGATTCCCCACGCAAACTGAAATTCACTTCAAATCGGGGAATTCCCCACGGGTTGGCTTCTCTGGCCCGTTACATTGCTCTCCTTCACGCTTTGGAAAAGGTGCTCAATGACTACAGATAACTACAAGCAAATGAGGGAAATTTATACAGTCCGAAAGACTTTTCGCACAACGTCTTCAAAAGGGGCCAAATTCAAAATTACTCTACCTTAGCCGAGTCCAAAACATAACGCCAGTCATTTATCTTCTGTGCTAACTGACGCCAATTGGAAATGCCAAGTAAAGCTAAGTCCTTCTCCACTTGGTCTTTCCAACACAGAGAAAGACTTCCTCTTCCTCGGTTACCAGCATCGCGGCCCGCGTTGAATACTTTCAGAGTAGGAGCGTTTCTGTCCATTCGAAGGACATGGCCAAGCTAGCGGAGCCGCTGAATTTTATGTTATGTTATGTTATTTTATGCACTATGTCTAAAGCTCATACAGCTCATCGTTAAATCGTCTGCGGTATTCGCCATCCAACGCCGTTGGATTTCAAGGCTGACTTCTCTCTCTAATCCCGAGAAGGCAGAACAGACGTAGCCATTGTTTTTACCGATAATATCGATATCGTCGGCATACGCCAACCATTGTACGATCTTGTAAAGTATTGTGCCTGATCGGTTCAGTTCTGCCGCTCTTGTTATCTTCTCCAACATCAGATTAAAGAAGTCACATGAAAGGAAGTCGCCCTGTTAGAAGCCCCGTTTGGTGGCGAACGGCTCGGAGAGGTCTTTCCCAGTTCTGACAGAGCAGGTGGTATTGCTTAACGTCATTTTACACAGCCGTATGAGTTTTGAGGGGATGCCAAATTCAGACATAGTTGCGTATAAGCAACTCCTTTTAGTGCTGTCGAAAGCGGCTTTAAAGTCGACAAATAGGTGATGAGTGTCGATCCTTTTCTCGCGGGTCTTTTCCAAGATTTGACGTATTGTGAATACGTGATCTATGAAGGATTCGCCAGGCCTAAAGCCACACCCTTAAGGTCCAATCAGTTCATTGACGGTGGGCTACAGTCTTTTACACAATACTCTGGATAAGACCTTGTAACCTATGCTTGGAAGGCTTATCCCGCGCTAGTTGGCGCGAATGGCGGGGTCACCTTTCTTGTGAATTGGGCAGAGCACACTTAAATTCCAGTCGTCGGGCATGCGTTCGTCTGACCATACTCTGCATAAGAGCTGATGCATGTATCTCATCAGCTCCTCGCCGCCGTACTTGAATAGCTCGGCTGGCAGGACATCATCTGCGGCAGCTTAGTTGTTTTTCAGCCGCGTAATCGCTATTCGTACCTCGTCATAGTCAGGCGGTAGGACATCGACTCTATCGTAATCGACTGCGGGTTCGGGTTCGTCTTCTCCACTACTTCCAGTGCTGCTGCCATTCAATAGGGTGAAAAAGTACTCCCTCCATAATTGAAGTACATCCTGGACATCGGTCACTAGGTCGCCGTGGTTGTTCTTACAGGAGTTCGCCCTGGTGTTGAAGCCTTCCGTAAGTCGCCTAACTCTCTGATAAAATCTTCGGGCGTTTTTCCTGTCGGCCAGCATCTCAAGCTATTCGCACTCACGTATTTCGGCCGTACGCACAGAATCACTTCCGGCCACTCCCAGGTGAATGACAGTCAAAAGTTTTCCACTTCTGCGCACGGAACCATCCTCGAACAACAAACTACTCATTTATAAAAATAGACGCATACATACATACGTCCATATGTAACTATGGTAAATAAAAGGTTATACTTTTTTGGCAGGAAACGATAAGCGACTTAAAGGCGTGCCAATGGCTAAAAATAAATCTGGCTCAACTTAGTTCGGACTCAAGTGCGGTTTTCACTTATTGATAATGATTTTTTAAAAGTTTTCTTTCTTAATATTTTGGATTCATTTATCATTTATTTGGTTAACAAATTGAAGGAGAAGCTTGGCCAAACACTTAACAAAAGTGTAAGCGCTAAAATATTAACACACCGAGAAAAAGATAGATACAGGTAAAACGTAAGTTTTTAAAAGAAATTGTAAAACACAATTCTTTGATATAATCTTACTTCATACAAAATAAAAAATGCAATTTTTGTAGTTACGACTTTAAAAGGAAACATTTGCAAAACAAAAACTAACGTTATAAGATATTTTGTTTTGGACTGATGAGAATAAACGAAATGAGAAAAAATATCGCCAAAAATGCGTGTTTTTGAAACTAAGGTGAAACATTTTAGAATATTGTTCCTACGAATTGTAGTGCGACACAATTTCCAACAAGTAAAGCAAAACGGGACCATTTTAAAACGTAAATTTATTTTAAGTAAATTAAGCAAGAAAAAGATTTAAAACTAAAACGCCACTTATTATGAAAAACATTTTGTATGTTTGCATCATTTGTCGAAAAAATTGTATGCAGATAAAAAAGTCACTTCAAGCTTTGATAGGCATTTGCTTCTTCAGAAAAGACGATTATTATATATATGTATGTATGTATATCTCCATTTTAACCGCCCGAATAAAATGGGTACCGCTGATTCGGTGGAGGTTTGTTATAAAAAAATCTTTGGTAAGAGTAACTTACAAAATAATAATTAAAAATTGTCTTAATAAATGTTATTACATATTCAATTCTTAAAAGCTCGTTTTTAAAAAAGACTTGAAAATGTGCGTATCAAAAACCAAAACATAGATTTAAAAAAATGGAAACGAAAATTTGCGTTCTCAAAACTTAAATAATTATTGTAGATGCAAAACGAAAATTTCTCTTATACAATTATATAACAATTATTTAAATCTTGCGACTTACCTAACGTAATCACGCTTACAATACGTTTTGCCGTCACGCACGAAACACGTACAGCTCTCGTCCAGAAATTGTCGACATTCCTGACATTTGAGGCATGCCGCATGCCATTCCAGATCGGGGGCGACGCGCAGGATGTACTGATCGTGAATTTGACCGCCACAGCCCACACAAAGTGATAAACGTTGTTTTTCTGCAAAAAAAAAAAGAATCAAAAAAAAAACTTCAGTCAGTTGCCCGGCATAGTTATGAAAAATTATTATTTAATTGAGAAAAAATACATACAAATAAAAAAAAAATTCTCTTTGCTTATTCATCTCACTTAAAAAAATGATTTTCCTAACCACAAGCATGCTCTAAATATTAATCTTTGAAATTGTAAAGCATGCAGCTTTTAATTAATTATTATTTAAAAATAAATAATGTTGAAGACTAAGGTTTCGTCGATCTTAATTTATAAAATGGTTTTAAATGTTAACATTTTTTTAAATTTATTTTGCATGTCTTCTCATTCTATAGATATATTTTTTGCTGATATTCATCTCTTTTGAAGTGCAATAAACTTTCCGTTTATATCGTTTTAACCGCATCACAAAAATTAGTATACATATTTAATTTTTCAAATTTAGTTCTGCGGCTTTGAAAAATGATTGGCTTTAATTTTATTTTTTTATGGATGTATTTATGTAGGTGCAGACACACATTTAAACATTAGATACACATGTGTGCATAAATTTGCAAATTTTTAATTTTCCATAAACTCTTTTTATGACTTTTTTGTGATTTATTGCATTTTAATAATTCACTTTTTGGCATTGTTTTGCACATCATAAATGTTTGACGCATGTGTGCAATATTTATGACATACATACATATATATAAATATAACAGTCAAAATCCAACAAGTTTGGCGTTATTTTTTAACATTTATTGACCGTAAAAAAAAATTAAAATTTCAAATTAGTTATAAAAATAGATCAGTTAACGAATATAGATATGCACTTACTTACATACATATAAGTATATACATACTTATATACGCGAAGAGATTAATTCACGTAGTATTAAAAATATTAAAATTGTTATTTTATATGTAATTGTATTTTGAACCAGGAAAAACTAAGGTAAATTAAAAACAAGTAAGAACTTTGCTCCTACATCGACTCATCCGTCAAAGAAGTTCACCGATGCCTTCTCGCAACAACGGCTTCCCGTTCACTCATTGTATCGGGATAAAATTTGAAAATATCGTATTAATTTCTCAAAAACCTAAAGACGCGATTTATTAAAAGTTGTAAAATTAGAAACTCGAAAAAACTTTTCGTTGACTAACTTTGACAGTTTAGCGAAAATTAGAATTTTTCAAGTTAACTGCCGGTTTATGGGAATACAACTAAAACTTGATGAAATATAAGTCTTGAGAGCCCGTCGGCAAACCGCTGAGTGACAGATCCTTATAGAACTGTAAAATAAATATATGGATGTACACTAAACCGTACGACTTTACAGGCAACAAAAGTTCACTTCGAGTCTACTTTTTTGCAATAGAATTTTTTAATATTTTCTGTGACACCTATCGAAATATTTTCTTTAAAAAAATGTTATGCTTTTGGCAAGCTTTAGTTTACTGACATTTGGGTGGTAAGAAGTGAGATCTGGTGAGTAAGTACTGAATTGTGGAGGTTGAGGTCAATGAACGTTGGAACAAAAAAACTCCTCCCATCTCCTCGAGAAAAAAATATCTGACTTCCTACTTTAAGAACCGATTGTATATGGTGAAGGTATGCTTTGTGAAAATTATTTAGATTCAGGTGTGTAAAGCGAACCAAAAGTAAATATCCGTTTTTTGTTTTCATTTACATGTGATCTTCGCACGAATTTCAAAAAAAACTTTATAACCACGTTAAAGCAAATTCCACCTCATATATTTTTTTCTTTCCTCCTACTTTAATGATGATAATACATATTTCACTATTACCTCTTCGTAGTACGATTTGGTTCGTCTTAAGTTTCCCCGAACTAGTTTGCCATAAAAAGCTACTTTATCGTAGAACTTAAATTTCTATTAAAGACAAATTACGCACACATATGTATGTACATACACGCACATATATACATGCATACATACACGCATACCATAAAGCAGGAGCAATGGATTGGTGCTTGGGGAATTGGCAAGTGGAATGTGCCATCCTTCATGATAAACGAAATGAAAACTTCCAACATTATTACGCACATTTAACGTTCTCTTAGTAGTAGTTTCTTCAACTTGTTTGTTGTCTTTTTTACTTTACCTCTCATGCGCTATCCAACAAAAATTTTAC